ATGGAAATAATAAAAAAAACATAAAATCAACACTTCATTTCATTTTTTCTTCTTCTTCTTCTATTCTTACCGTTTATTATTTCCAGTATCAAGAAATGCCTTAGCAAATGGATTGTATTTAATTTTTAATGCTGTGACCTAAAACATTAAAATTCTTTCGTATAGATCAAAAAAAAATAAAAACTATCTCTTACTTCATCATTTTGATAAGCTGTAACAGCAATAAATTCCGTTTCAGTAAAACTTGTTTCATAGATTTTCTTTTTTAACATGACATCAATTATAGCAATTTTTGGTTTATATTTATGAAGTGAATTAAGAACAACCTAGAAGAAACAAAATTTAAAAATTTCTTTTATATATTATAAACACTTACTTGACATGGACCTGTTTGATTTGTTTTATTTGTTAATTTAACTTTTGAAAATGAAACTGTATCTCTCATCCATGTTTCACCATAATTAGGTGAATCAGGATGTTGATATGGTATTCGTTGTACAGGTGGATCTGGTTTTGTACCTGGTTGCCATTGACCACTAACATATCGCCAACGATGTGCATCAATTTGATCAAATGATAATTCGACTGTATACATTTTTTCAGGTTCTAAACCACGAATACTTATAGCTACAATTGGAAACATTCGACGACCAGCTTTTGTTACACTACAGAAATGTTTTATAACAAATAAAAAATTTTTAGAAATAAAATTAAAATAATTTACATCATTTCATTTGTTAAACCATGAAATCTTCTCCATAAATCTACATTTTGTAAAGATATAGTAATATTTTCTCCATTATATTCTGGCTTCATCAGATATTGAATTTGTGGATGTTGATACTATAATCGAGTATGTGCGAAATATAACAAAGAAAGAATAAAAAAAGAATATTCTACCTTTCCATGTTGATGAGCTTGATGTTGCTGTGGTTGTTGCATTGAATGAATATATTCTGTCTTCAAGTCACACGAAAGTGAGAGATTCGAATTCTGACTTCCGACAAATGTATGCGACATTTTTTCTTCTCCTTCGAACTTATTCTTCTCGTTTATTATTAACCAATAACGAAGAGAATTTCTCTTCTCTCTTTTTCAAAAAAACGAAAAAAAAAAGAAATTTTATGACCAATCAGAATTTATTTCGATATATATACGACTAGTTTAGTTATTCAAACATTAGATGAAGATATTTTGAATGTGAAAAAAAGAAACTCCCTTTTTTTTCTATTTTGAAGTAATAAAATTATTTAAATAATTATAGCAGAAATGAATTGTTCAATATTGAAAACACAAGTTTTCTCTTCATATTTATCTAGTTATTTTCTCACTCCATATAATAGCATCTTCTTTAACACTTATCAATTATTCTTCTTCTTCTAATAAACAAGACGAAACAATATAAATGCAATGACACGCATATTTAACTTGCACAGTGGTCGATATTGTTATTCGTCATACATACTAATTAGTCAATGTTCGACATCATTTTTTATGACTAGAGAGATTGAAGGTAGTAAAATAAGAGAAAAAGAATCAAGCTGAGATTTGTCGTCTCTCATACATATGTCAATTGATCTACTGTATTTGTAAGCCTATCATCACTAAAAACATTTCAATTAGAATATGAGACATCCTCTCACTTTGATGCTCTCTCTTACACTGAGAAATACAGGTGTTATAACGCCTACATATACAGATCGAATTCAAGCATCATTTTTCTACATCATTTCTTCTCCTTTTCGTTTTTACAACAGGGAATGGTTAAATCAACATATCATCGATGTTGTAAATCGATTATTTGCTACCAGTACCTATCGTTAACCTTTCTTACATGTTCTAATATTTGTTTTTATTTTCTTTCGTGTATATACCAGTACATTGAAAGATGACACAGACTACACTTGACTTCAAAAGGTGAAAGATGAAACTTTTCTTTTTCTCTCTCTCTCTCTTCTGTTCATTTGCTTCAAAGAGTAAGTGGCATCAAGTCACTTATCAAAAGATGAAATATATAAATAAATAAAAAGAGAAAAAGAAAGATTTGATTTTTTTTTCTTAGCTTGTGTTAATTTAAAGAATTTAGAAAACATCCGGAATTTTAAACCGGAATATGAAGTGATTAAAAAATGATTGATATATGACGGAATGTTTGTTGATTTTTCTTTTCTTTAATAATGTTAAATAAATAGACGTAAGCTTCTATTGTATAAAAGAGGATCAGCAATGATGATGATGATGAACTTTCTTAAAAATCATGGCACTTTGTCAATAAAATTGCAAACATTCTTATAAGCTCATCGAGTAACTGAAACATTTCTCACATAAATAATATATTTATCGGTAAAATTAATTATTTTATTTAAATGAAATCGAATAGAATTAACAGAAAAAAAGAAATTTATATATGATGTTGATGGTTATTATCAATAGCTGTTTGCAATTGAAATGTTGACCAATTCGTCATAGCTGCTGTATGATGATGTTGAAATGTTGTTGCAGAATTTGCATAATCAAACATATTCGGTGTTGGTTGATCTACGAGTAGCAATGGTGGTGCTAAATAACACATTAAATAGTAGAAATAAAACAAAAGAGAGAAAAAAAATCAATAACATACAATTCGATGACATTAATGAATGATTGTGATGATGGTAGTATGGACGTGTACGATGGATATTAACTGATGAACGATGTCGAAGAACTTGTGATGATGATGTAGCCGAATCATCAGCAGGAAATGGCAACATATCTGTGAAAGAATCAATAAAAATTGTTTTCCCTTTTTTCTTTCTACGAGATGGAAGATCAAAGATAGAAATCAAGGTGTAAACGGATATTTAACTTACAATAAGGAATAGATGAAAAATGTTGTGTTCGATAATCTGCATCACTCGTTTGTCCGTCATAATCAGTTCTAATATATATATTTAACAAAATTTAAATTGGTGAACAAAAAGAAACAACCGATTCTTACCGATCTCTTGGTTCTTGAAAAGCTTTTGCAAATGGATTATGTCGAATTTTTAATGCCGTTATCTTAAAAAAATAATAAGAATAAGAACAAGAATTTTATATCTAATACTTCTTCATTTTGATAAGCAGTAACAGCAATAAATGATGTTAATGGAAATGTAACAGTTTTTAGTAAAATATTTGGTTGCCCGTTTGATAATGATTGTAAAATATGTATTCTTGGTTTATATTTATGTAAAGAATTAAGAATAATCTATTGAAATCAGTTATATTAAAATTAAGAAAAAGAAAATTTCGATTTTTTCTTACATGATCATCTTTTGTTGGATTTGCACGATTTGTTAATTTAACATTTTTAAATTCAACTATGTCAGACATCCAAAATCGACCATAATTAGGTGATTTTGGATGAGAATATGGTTCACCTTTAATAGTGACACCATAACGACGATCTTGATTAGAATTTGTAGTATCTTGTTTACCATTTGTTTGCCACTGTCCACTAACATATCTCCAACGATAGTTATCATATGGAAGAAAATCAAGTTTAAAATCATATAATGTTTCAGGATCTAAACCATGAACAGCAACACGAAGAACAGGAAACATTCTTCGTCCACCTTTGGTTAAACTATGATTTTAAAAATAAAATAAAACATAGAAAAAGAAGTGTGATTATTGATTTTAAAATAATTAGTTTTTACATCATTTCTGTACTTAAAGATTCGAAACGTGACCATAATTCAGTATCTTGAAGTTCTAAATGTATTGATGAATCCGTTCTTGGATAAACTTTAAATAAAGAAATGATAATTAATAATAAAAATATGAAACATGAAAAAAGAATTCACCTGTTTGAAGCATTCTTTCGTTTCGGTTTTTCTTTGGTAATATATGTAATAGCAACAGATCACGCTTAAGTGTTGAAAATGGAATAAACTTGTGAGATGAAGGAGAAGAAGAAAAGAAGAAAAATTTATTTTGACCAATCAAAATTCAATCCGGATGATGAATGTGAAAAAAAGAAGGAGCAGAAAGAGAAAAATTGACAAATATAATATTTGATTAAAATGAGAAAATATTATAACACTATTTTTCTTGTTAATAGAAACGCATGCAAAAATTATAAATCATAGAGTAGTCTTCTGAGTTTCAGTGAGATAAATCTTACTTATTCAATATCCTACATCGATATATATATGTGTTGTGAAACGGCATATTTAACACTCTTTTTGTCTTTTCTTTATGGATTGTAAAAGAATTAATATAGCGTGTATGTTATCATTTTATTTTCATAGATATCGTACCGATGGGAATATTGAAATCATTTATAAACATGTGGAAATAATACTTACGAATGTTTTAATTATTAATAATTTGTTAAGGAATTTCATTATGACTATGACAAAAATTTCATAGTTCCATTTAATTCTTTCTAGTAACACGTTTCTAAAGAATCTGAAAACTACTGCTGATATATATACGAATGATTTTGATTAGTTTTTCATATCATCTAATATTGATGGGATTTATTTCTTAGTTATAATTGAATATCACCATTTATAGTGTGATAGGCAAAATGAATTATTATTACTAACTTTTATCAAAGTTTAAATTTTTGCTTGTCTTGATCAAGAAAATGACCTTTAAACGATATCTATTGCTTAAATTACTAAATAATCGAATTTCGTTTACAGATATCTCACTTTCTACCGTCAACCTTCGATTTAAATAGTAATTCATCATCTGATAAAAGTACTCAATTATTAGTAAAAGATTTTTTAATGAATAAACTCAATCTAAGAATATTTATTCTTATTACTTGAATGATCAAAATTTAATTATACAGATTTTATCCGTGAGACAAATATTAAATTAGCAGCTTATTATCTCTTCGCCAATAGGACATTCGAAAATCCCGAATTATCAGGTACTTAATAAAGATGTTTTTTATGTTCTGATTTGCCTTTTATTAGATGATAAAAATTATAACATAATGTATAATAACAAGAGAAAAGATCATTTTATGATTTCGATGATATACGTTGAATAATTTGTTCAATTTGAATAAGATCATGATGTGTTGAAGGATATAAATGACGATACATTGTTGCTGCTTTTTTCATATAATATAATGCTTGTTGAAAATTTTTTTTATCTCGATGAACAAGGCCCATATTTCGAAGTATCATTGCAATATCTGGATGATTAGGAAGAAGAGATTTTTTCAAGATATCATATGATGAACTATAATGTTCTAATGCAAGATCATAATGTTTAAGTTGATAATGTACATTACCAATACAAGCATGTGATTGACCTAAACTAGAATGTTCAGTCGAAAGATATTTCTCACGAATATTCCATGCTTTATGATAGAATTCTAATGCATCAGAGTATTTTCCTTCCTCTTGATAAATAATACCCATATTATTATAACACATAGCTATATTTGGATGATCTTCATGAAAAACTTTTTTCCATAATTCTAATGCTTTTGTATATGATTCTAATGCAAGAGAATAATCTCCTTTTTTTGTATAAACAACACCAATACTATTATAACTAAGAGCAAGATTTGAATCATCTGTTTTCGTATCGTATTGTAATGCTTTATTGTACCATACAATACTTGAATCATAACCACCTCGTTTTTGACTAATTTCACCTAGTGCATGATAACATCGTGCTGTATCTTCATGATCTTTCGATAATTGATTAAGTAAACGATGATAATATTTTTCTGCACCATCTAAATTACCCATATCTTCTAGAATAAAACCAACTGAGAGAAGATCTGTTTCAATAATATCTAATTCATGTTTCTTTTGTTGAATAAATGATTGTAATTGATGTTTTTTATTTGCACATAACATTAATTGAATATTCCAAATACCATCACGATCACGATCAATATGTATAAGTCGAAAAATTGAACCCATCATAAATAAAATTTCTTCTTTACCTGGAAAATAACTATAACTAGTAATATTACTGAAAGTTTTTATATCATCTACTCGATGATTAATATTGATTTCAAAAATAACTTTTTCAATATCATCAGATGGTATAAACGACATAAGAGAAGATCGTGTTTGTTCTCGATTAGAATTCGTTGATAAAAATGAATTGATTGATATAAATTCACCAGTAAATTTTGTTAATAATTCTATTTCTTCTTTCGACATTAATTGAGCTCGATAAACATGAATAGAATTTGAAGATTTACTTAAATTTAATTGTCGTCGAATATCACGAATAAAAAAACGAAATAGTAATAATAAATCAATATTTTGTATTCGAATAGCTTTATTTAATAATCGATAAAGAAATGAATGCCTTGTATACCACCATAAAGATTTTTCCGATAAATATTCTCGTTCAAATTCTTCTATAATATTTAATTCATATGAATTATTCTTATATTGTTGTTTACATAAATTCATTAATTCATTTTTATCATTTGATAATGATTCCATATTTATTAAACAATCAATTAATATTTGTATATGTATAAAATGATCATTCATACCAGTTGATAAAAATTTATTATCAACATTTTTCGTATTAAATATTTCATAGGATAATGTTTCATCGAGTTTATGATTTTGTCGTTGATTATAATCGGTTTGAATTCGTTGTATAAGTTCATCTCGACCAATAATGACACGTTTTATCTTAAAAACACAAAAATATTCCATAGACTATTAAGATAGATACTAGAGATAAGGAATTCATCTATCTTTACTACAGTAATGATCAAAATTGTAGAAACACCTGTCTGTCGAAGATTGTTGGCTTGTTGTTATTGGGACAATGTTTTTGTAAAACACGAGCGATATGTGGGTGAATATAATCGTCTAGACGGTTGTATCCACCCACGTATCATTTGTGTGTCACAGAAACATTTATTCCAATAAAAACAAGTCAATGATCTTTGACAAACAGGTGGTTCTATAATTTTTATCATTACTGTAAAATATATGGCAATATCCTCTATAGCATCAGACTAAACTTTACAATTAAAAGTATATTGTTTTTCTCATGAATATGCTTTAAGATAGTTGTAACGTATCCTTAGGTAAAAAGCATTTATTAAATCTATCTAGTCTAAAAATAAATGAATGTACCCAAATAATAATTGTTGAAGTTTAATCATGAAATGTGAAAAGTCATATTCTACCAATTAAATAACTTATGCTGTCTAATTACCAAAGTGCTCATATATTTAAATAAAAAATTTTATCAAAAACGATTATTTATAGTATAATAGTGAAGTTTTTAATAATATCTAACATTATATTTGTCTCGTCAGGCTAAAACTAAATAAATTCCTAGACGATGAGTTCTATTTATAACATTATAAAAAGTACTTTTCTGCTAATTGAAACAAGGTTATTGTATCATAAATAATAATTAATTTACCTTTTTATATTTTTTTATCCATTGTTCATTGTTTTTTTTACTATTACAATAGATATAAATAGATACGATTTGTCGAAGATGAACAATTTGAGGAACAAAATGTTCACCGAATTTTTCTGTAACGATTAGAATAATTCGATCACCTTTTGATAGGGAATAAATATAATTTAAACATTGTTCTTCATCATCGAATATTAATAAATAATTAATAATTGCTCGAAGTTGCTGTTGAATATCATTATTAATTGAATTACCAAACCAAATTAAATAAAATGGTTCAAGATTTTCAACTTCCTCATTTATATTTGTTAGACTTGTACTCATTCTTTTTTTTTCTCAATATGTTATATAAAAATGAATGTTTTTATTGAGGTGAAGAAACGAACAGCAAAAGAATATACGTCATTTATTCGTTGCTTTGTATAAAACTTCATGATTTTTTTTATACCCACACAATGTGCTTTGCAAAAAAAAGGGAGGAATAGAAAAGAACGTAGGTTAAAGTTTTAATTTTATTTAGAGAAGAGAAAGAAAAAAAACAAAAAAGAATCGTCATCGACAAAAAAGAATGATTTATCTTTTATTGTTTTACTTCCTATAAAAAGATTGAGGTTGTTTTTTTTCACTCATTAAAAATTAATAAACTTTCAATTTAATCATGTACGATAAATAAACCACATTTTCACTTATTTCATAATAGAAATTATACACCTAAGAGTTAATTAATTATGAATTAGAAAACAAGTTAGTATAATCATTTAAAAGACTGTTTTCTTCATACCTACCGATCTATTCAATATGTAACTTAGTTAAAAGATGAGTTTATTTAATAATAGCAGCGTAAATAATTACACGATTGCCTTTGTCAGACATTATGATTTATTACTCGTTTGATATTAAGTGTAAGATTCATTAAAACGAGTTTTTTTAGCATGTCAGAGCTGAAGGCAATTTTTTTAAACTCGTGAGATATATTTCATAATTATTGTTGATTAAACGATGCATTACTTAGAATTTTCTTGATCTTTTGAAATTTATAAATATGTTTTCTGTGACAAGAACGATACTCGTTTGACTTTTTCGTTTAGTCATTTATTTCTTCTTATTTATTTATTTTTCTTTTTGTTGTTTTTTTTTCTTGATAAAAGCTGACAACAAGTTCATCAATATGTATATATATATATGATGAATAAAAACAAACAAAACGGAAACTAAACGAGTAATACTCGTTGATTGTTTACGAAGATTTTGTTGCTACTGTTGTTTTGGTTTTTGTTGCTACTGTTGTAGTTTTAGTTGTGGTTCCAACTTTTTCTGTGCTAGTTTTTTTTACTAAATTAACACCAGATAATCGGTTGGATCTTATGGATTTATGTGTACGTGCTTTACGAGCTGCAACCTATAAGAAAAATACGAAAATAAATAATAAAAAATAGTTCATAAATATAATATTTTACCTTTGATTCGGCTGTTGTTCCTGTACGTCGTCCTTTAAGTTGTTTTAAAAGTGTTGAACGTTTTTGAACAGCAGCATATGGATTAAGTCGTGACATTAAACTAATATTCTTCAATGGATTTTTCTTTATTTTACGACGAGCTTGACGTTTACTATTAAAATTCATATAAATATATATACATATATAAATTTAACATGGTTACATACATTGGTGCACGAAGAACACTTTGAATTTCGAATGCTTTGAGTAAACGTCCCAAATCACTATTTGTCATTATTGGTTGTGGAAGACTAAAAATAAAAATAATAAAAACATGTTGAAGAACTATATTTGATGAATAATATGGAAAAAATTAATTCAACCAAGTGTGATTTCTTCTATTCATTATTGCATTTACTTTTATCGGTACTTATTATAATAAAGCAATAAACCCGTAGATCGAAATGCATTATTTTATTTATTTAGTTAGTTAGTTTTATATCTAAACATTATAGGAAGATATTCACATTTATTATCGTGATATCTCCCGGGAATGCAGATACTTTTTTCTATTGCCTCATTTGAAACTGTGTTAGAGAATTCTTATTCTATTGAAAAAGAATAAAACTCTCAAATGCAGATCGATGAGGCATATGTATATTTTGAGAAAATAGAAAATACAGAAACTTTGAACTTACTTGAAGTCTGCTTTTTGTTGTGATTTTTTACTCCATGTTCCATAAAGACCATCAAGTTTTTTGAATGCTGATTCAGTCCATACAACGAATCGACCAACGTGACCACCAGGTGCCAAACGAAGTAAATTAAGACGTTCAACACTCAATAATGATACACCTAAAAAACAAAAAGTTGATAAAGATTTCTTATTTTTTACAAAAGTTTGATGTTTGTTTAAAATGAAGAAGAAATATTTCATTGAGATATATTTCCGAAGACGTAAACAATCTTTTTAATTTTCCTCTCAGTTTTTGGAGATACATTTCATTGATTAAGATGAACTCCCAAGATAAGAGGAATAAGAAAATTTTTTTTGAAAATAAATTTCTTACCGGGTATGTTGCGAAAAGCTTTCTTAACACCATTATCTTTATCGTAGATGATGACTGGACCACGTTTCATAACTGTTCGTCGATTACGCATTTTACCTTTACCAGCACGTGTATGTTTTGATGCATAAACTTTAAGAATATCGGACCAAGCACCGATTTTACGTAAAATAGCGACGGCTTCTTTAGTTTTTTTTATATCTTGTACTTTATCGGTTAAAACCAATGGGATTTCTGGTACAGTTTCAATGCTGTGACCTAATTATAAACAAAATGATATTACCAATAAGTAAAATAAAAAAAGAAATTGTTACCTTTAGCTAAAACAAGTGATGGAACACCAGAAGCAGCAATTGCACTAACAAGTGCATATCGTCGTTGTTTTAAATTAATTTTTCGATGCCATTTACGCCATACTTTTAATGGTGCATACATTCGACCACCACGACACATATTACCGAAAGCACCTTGACCTGATCGATGAGTACCACCACCACGAACACGTGGAATACGAGCAACAGCTCGACCAGTACCCCATGATTCAGCTGAAGTTTGTTCACCTGAATAGAAACGAATAAAAAACAAGTTTTAAAATATATATTTTCTTATTATTAAAACTCACCAGCTTTGGTGCTAACAGCATGTGCTTGTCGTTTGTTACGTCTCATTTGATCATGAACAAAGTTGACAATATCAGTACGAATTGGAGCACGAAAAACGGCAGGTAATACAACGGATTTTCCTGTTGATTGACCTTTTTCATCGTAAACAGTAACAAGAGGTCGCGAGGCGGCCTAAAAATAAATACAGATAAATTGAAATTAAAGTCAAACAAATACACAAACCATTTTTCAGTAAACCTTGTTGATTTTAAGTTGATTTCAAAAGCAAATGGATACTGGAGTATATTACCGACCCCCACAGAAAAAAATGGATTCATATGGATAAATATTGGATAGAATGTTTATTCTTATTAATATTAAAATTATTAAAATTAATCTATAAAACTTTATCAAGACAATGAAATTGAACTGAATTTTTTATTAGATTTTATAGTTAATTTTTAATGCATTACTGCTTTAGATATAGAGGTTAACTTTAAGATGTCAGTAGTTCATAGAATGAACCAATCGAAAGTAGTGCTATCAGATATACGAACAAATTATAAATTGTCAAGATACATTGTGTATTGAAAACAATGTGTCAAATGATGCTTAATAAAATTTTTTGAATATTTTCGTCAAATGTGATTAATAGAATTTTTTTGTCAGATATGTCGAATAAATTTGATGTTAATAGTAATGAAACGTAAGTAGAATAAAATACGAATATAAACTCAAGTTGAGCTATAACTTGAAATTGTATTATATAGAATAAAAAGTCATATCTCTGAATGAAAGACAAATGTTTTGTTAAACATAAGATCAAGAAATAAATTCTGCTACTAATAAATCATCTCGTTGAATTTTTCATTTTACTAATGGCATCGATCTTTAAAAATCCAAGCTGATTCCATCATTGAACTATAATACACTAACAAAACATTAATTTGATTGTTATGCAATATAGATAATTTATTCTTTTTTAGTCTATTGACAACTTCCACTTCATTTATATTTGATTCACCATCATCATCATCATCATCTTTATGGTTAATATTTCGTATAAAACTACTTTTCTTTATTCCATGTATACTTGCATGTATTGTATTCTTTCTTTTAATAATTTATCTACTAAAATATCTCATTGATTATTGCCGGAAATCTCGTAAGAAAATAACGATAACTGATTGTACTACACTAAATATTAAATAGTTGTTTGTTCTTTTGTTTATTTTTTTGTTATCCGGTGATTTTTGTTTCTCATTTTGTGTGTATATATTTAAAGATAGAAATAGAATGATTTGTTTCCACTATAAAAAAAATATATTGATCACTATTAACAAATGATTAAGACAAGATTTCTTATGATGAAAACTAATCTTTATTCGAATTAACTCGTAATCAATTCTACGAAATCTTATTTCAGATCAGCATCTCCACAAAAACTAGGGCAAAATTAAGCAGTATGTATTTTATTGAACATAATTAATATTTAATCATTAGTCCCTTGTGACAATCAAAATTCAATTAATTTCATCAAAAAATTTCTGATGGTATTCAAGACAAAGATTTCTCTCGATCTTAATTCCAGTGAATTATTATAATGTGAATACAGTGTAAACATAGAATAACTGCCTTCAATTTACTTAAAAACCGTACTTTACCATTCTATGATCAATTTTTACTACAGCAGCATCCTTTGGCAAATAAAAAACATTATACTCTTTTTTTGTTGTTTTTTTTTGAATAATTACTACACGCTACATTTTATATTTGAATTAAAAATCAGCATTTTGTTTTTATTTAAATTTTATTATAAAAAAATTGTTTATACTAACAGATCATACTGAACTAATTCAAGTTCGATATAACATTTAGATTCAAAAGAAATATATTATTAGTTGAGATAATAAATTTTGTGTTCCAATAAATAGACAAAAAATAATATTATACATTTAAGCATGATAATTATTGTTCTCAATTATTATAATTACATCGTTTTACTATGTCATTAATTTCGATGAACATAAAATATAATGAGATTTGATTATACGAAACAAAAAATTATATAAATGAAATTATGTTTAACATTAATTTACAAAATAATTCATTACGATTAAATCTGAAGTTCAATAGTTTTTTTCGACTTAACTGCTTCGCGAAGTCGTGTTTTATCCATTCTAGATAGTTTACAACTAACTAGATCAACTTTTTTTAATGATCGATTTTTCATTAACATATCTACTAATGCATCAACACTTGAATCACAAATTGATTTATCCCATCCGATTGATAGAATTTCAAGTGTTTGATTATTATGGATAAGTGCTTCTGTTAATGCCTGTACACCTTGATCACCAATAGGATTATCTGATAACCAAAGTTCTTTTAATGTTCGATTTCTTTTTAACATTTCAGCAAGATATTGAGCACCTTCATTTGATATAGAATTACGACCAAGAGTAAGACATTGTAATGTTCTATTATTATTCATACATAATGCTGTTGCTAGAGATTTTATACCTTCATCACCTGTATGATTATTAGAAAGATATAATCCGTTTAATGTTGTATTATTATATAAAGCTTTTGCAAGTACAGTAAGGCATTTTGATGTAAGATTAGTTTCTTTTAAATAAAGACCTGTACATTGTCTCTCAATAATTGCATATTGAACGATAATATCCATGTCTTTTTCAACCAATGTTCTACCAAATAAATACACATCTGTTCGTGGTTTAAATTTTAAAATTAAGTCAATTAGTTTTTGAGTATCACCTGATCTTGGTGTTGATGGTGGTGTTGGTAGCGGTAATGAAGGTGGTTTTGGTAGTGGTAATGGAGGTGGTGGCGGCCGTGGTGATATCGATGGAATTTCTTTCAATTGAATTGTATGATAATCACCACCATTATCAAGGCATGCAATAACTTCAAATTCTGTTCCAGCTACCAGAAGTATTTCATTTTCTGAAGTAAAACAAGAATGTTTACTTATATCTTTTCCATTGAAACATTCAATAGTAAACAATGTTCTTGGGCCTGTCATACCAAGAAACTTTTCTGGTTGTAGAACATCAATAGTAGTTGTACATGATGTAAATCCCCACCAGATAAATTTTTTACCTGCTGGATAATCATTATGTAAATCTTGTTTAACACCACGATAAACATATTCGTGTTTCGATGGTAAATGATTAACTGCTTTTACGAGAAGTCTAAGAAATGAAAGCCATGGTTGAATGTTTTCTCGTATTTGTTCACGTAAAGCTGCATTAAGTTTATAATAAAGACAACGTTCAGATGGTTTCCATTCTTGTGAATAAAGACAAATCGATGCTGATTCATCCGATGACAGATCATCTGCAGGTGCTATAGAATTTTCTTTGGCTATTTGAACTCTTTCTTTAATATCAGGCATAAGAGATGCAAGTGGTTCAATTGCTTTATCAAGTGAAACCAATTGTGTTTTATCATATCCTTCAATTTTATCCAAGACAGATTTATTGGGTACCATTCTTTATAAGAAAATGATTTTACTTTCGCAAAGCAACCTACTTGCTATTGAAATAAAACAAATGTACTTTTTTCTCTTCTTTTAACCCATATATTAGTTTACTTCCTCGGATGAGGTAACGAATAGCAAGCGCTGTATTTATTTCAAAAATATGTTGTCTCTATGACTCATGTAATGAATGAGTTTATGCCAATTCTATTCAAATATACGTTACACTGTAAGGATCCGTGGCGCGATATTTATTTGGACCAATTCGAGTGGCAAGCTATGCAAACGATACAAAAACCGGTGAAAAAAAAATTTGAATACTGTCTCTATTCATAAACTAATAAGAATATGAAAAGAAATTTTTTTGTATTAATCTTTTCAAACTATTTCTTCTACGCAATTTCATTAATGACTTTCATCAATGAAAATATTTACGATAGTCTAGAATATCAATACTATTCGATTATTAAAAGTATTTCACATGGTTTTCATCTATTCACACGAACCTAAGCCGAATATACAAAAATTTCTACGAATGAATAAATATGAGTTTACAAATAGTATATATATATATTAATAAAAAAAAATACAAGATGAATCTTGAGGGTGTGGATAATTAAGACTGTACTACCAACCACACCCACATCCACACCCTCAAGATAATGAATTACTGCCGCAAGGATATGAAATAAAAAACACAGATTTTTTGTTAATATAACTGCTTGAAAAGAATTTTCTATTTTAAGAGAAGATGATATTTGTTAAATAAACTTAATATGTACTTGGTATACAACTTCAAAGTATTAAAACGTGTGATCAATCGAAATATTTTGTTTGGATCAAAGTGACATCTAGAAATATTAATTTGCGTTAGATTTCATATCTACCATAGAGGGATTTTTCTTGTCATATGTATATTTATATTGACATAAATATGTTTTTATTTTTGTATCTTGCTAAATAAAGAAAAATCTCATTCATTGATTATTTTTTATACAATATGAATCGACGTTCATTAAGTGCTGAATCATTACATTCATCAAGAATATCCGGTCAAGCATACAAACCTTTATCATCAAACTCTAAAGTTTATGATCGATGGACAATAATCTGTATAATTATTGCATCAATTGGTATACTCAATGGTTTTTGGATGTTAATTGCTCCTGAACATTGGTATCATAATTTACCAGCTGGTGTACCTGAATATGGTCCATTCAATGTACATTTTGTACGAGATATTGGTTGTATATTTTTTCTTGTTGGTGCTGGTACTTTGATTGCAGGATTTTATCCTATTTATCGTTTACCATTATTTACAATGAATACAGCTTTTTATATATTACATATGCTCGTACATGTACATGAAGTTGTTAGTGGACGAATACGATTAAGTATGTTTTGGGTAGATTTACCTGGTGTTTACATTCCTGCTGTTGTCTTTTTTATATTAAATATATTTCTGATTAAACAAGTTCGAAATGATCAACCCATTCAACGTACAATTAGAAATTGACTGACTATATTTAGACTATAGATTTGAGTATGACAAAAGATATGTTTTATTTTATATATTTTAATAAAAAATATTTTGCGTTTACTATTTTTAAATCATTTTATTATCTGCATGTAATATAAATCTAAAAATAATTTATATACTCCATTTCAATTTTTTAGTAGATCAAACAGAAATAGTATTCATATCTTATTTGTACCCAGTGAAAAATGTCAACCAAAAAATCATGATTCTTTTGGATTATGAGCAATCTAATCGGATT